AGGTCTGGCTTAGGCCACGTGTCAGAATTTAGGGTCACAGGCAGGCAGTGGAGGCAGCGTGAGGCCCCAGAGAGCTTCACGGGGGGGGGGGGGGGGGGGGGGGCAAAAGGGAGGAGAGGGGCCTACAGGAGAGTGAAGGTGCAAAGCCCACTGGCCCCCTGCATCCAGCTCAGGGGTCTTCCCTCCCTGCATGCCAGGTGGCATGGCGGGGGGGGGGGGGGGGGGCTCTTCTCACTGTGCTGTGGTACCCAGAAAGACACCCATGCCTCCCCACATCTTGCTGCCTCAAAAGGTGCATTCTGGTTCACATGGGCAGCGGGGGCTGCCTGTATCCCCAGAACCCGTGCCGTAAGCATCGGGAACAGCGGAGAGTGAGTCTGGGCCACCAGGGGAGGAGGTAAAAAAGAGCAGATATTCTGAGGGATTCCGAGGGGGACTTAGAGCCTGACACGCATGGGGGGAGTCTGTCCTACCAGGTGAGGGCCCAAGTTCCTCTGGTACAGGAGATGGATTTAAGGTCAATTGCTCATTCTAAAGGGGGATGTAAAGCAGGTTCTTTCCCCCAAGGGCGAAGGGGGCTTTTATCCAGAGGCACAGACTGAGAGTGGATAAAGCACACCCAAGCTTTAATGCCCCCTCTGTTCCCCAGCAACTTTGGGGGGAAACGGTGGAGAGGAGCCTTAGCCAAAGAGGGGAGCACGGTGCAGATTCTCTTGCTCCAGTTGTGATTTCAGGGGCAAGACAGGTGCTCCCTGCCACCTAGAGCTCCTCAAGGAAGCAGAGTTCTTTTCTGTCAGTCTGGCTGGAGGGGAGAGGGCGGCCCCCAGCAAGCACAGCCATGTCCCCAAGGCACGTCATGCTGTCTTAAGCTATCCCAGGAGTTGGCCACGGAGCAAAACTTATGAGCAGCTGGGTGTCATCCTGTCATCAGAGTGGACTGTCAGGCCAGGCTGGGCAAATGATCACATGGAGGCTGGCCAGCTGGTGAGCTTCCATGCCCAAGAGCAGCAGGAAGCTATTCATGGTGGGGCCTCCAGCAGAGAAACTCTGTCCTCAATTTCTTCCTCCTATCCTCGGAAGCTGCCCCACCAAGAGCTAATTCCACACATTTCGGAAGAAACTTGGTGCCTAAATTCACACTGTGGTATTAAAAGTCAAGGCCTGCTAGCCGGAGCTACTTGAGACCATCTGGTGACCAAAGAGATAAAGTGTCACTTCAAAATATTGCTGGCCTGAGAGGGTCCCAGACCCCAGGGGAACCTGTAACAGAGACCTCCAGCAAGACCTGTTCTCCTGGCCGCTTTCAGCCCTGCCAACGTCTAAGGGCCTTAGGGCTTTCTCTGTTTGATTAGAAATTAGAGGGACATCTTTAACATGGAGGACGATGGTCCCCAGCCTTCTCCCCACTCTGACCCTCAGCTTCCCCCCAGAGGGACAGTTCCTGCTAGAAAGAGCCACAGTGCTAACCACAATTCTCCTGGCATTGCTGAGCCCACCTGGCCCCAAGGATACACTCCCTCCCTTCCCTAGCCCACCTCACAGGCCTCCTGGGACCAGAAGGGATTAGCTTCCTGGAATGAGATCTGAAACTGTGGAATTCTGCCTTCAAGCCACAGGGGATGGTGTGCAGCGGGCTGTGGTTGCTGGGACCCCAGAGCACTCAGAGCGTCTGGTGGCACTTTGTCTTACGTGATGTGTTAGACCTCGCACTCAGCCTAGGGTGAGCCTTCTTCATGGGTCTCCCTTGGAAGCGGACTTCTCTGAACTGGAGGGGAAGGACCGATACCTTCCAATTCTGTCGATGCACATTGCAAGTGTCCCATGGAAATGTCCCCTGGTTGCTGCTCCTCTCACCCTCCTGGCAAGTTTGGGTTTCAGTTCCCAACTTAAACCGGCCAACAGCTTCTTACTCCCTTACTGGCAGAGGCATTACTCTCTGGAGTCACTTGAGAGGGGGTTTGGTTGGAATTGCTTCATTTCTTCATGTTGAGCCAGAGACTGAGTTTAAACCCATGGTCATCAAACCGAACGCACTGCTACCCACTCATTAACTCCTCTTAGGGCTTTGAGCATGGGCAGCATCCCCAGAGCCCTCCCGCCAACCCACCCCCGAGAATGAGAGCAGTGGGACTCCATGTGCACAGCTGGGTCGCCCCTAGACCCTGGGCCACTCCTCCCATCGGCTGAGGAGGAAGCAGAGTATGGTCCTCCATGGGAAGACCCATGGGGCGTGGAGGTCTAAGCCCAGATTCTGCTTGACCTCTGACCCTCTCCTCCCTGAAACCTTTCCCAGATGACCCCACCCCGTAACGATCTCCCTCTCTGAGCCCAGGGGCTCGTTGCCCTGAGCTGTGCCATCTTCCATTTCAGTTCTTCCTGCCCATCCTGAGGGCTGAGGGGCTCCTGGGAGATGGGGGGTGGGCGGGAGGGGCACAGGTGGCCCAGACACCCGCCACCTTCAACCAGACTCACTCCAGACCCACCCACCCAACTTGTGTTCACAACCCCTGTCTGCCACTTATTGGCTGGGTGACCTGGTGTCAAATGACTGAACCTTTTTGGACCTCCATTTCCTTGTCTGTGAAATGAGCATTATAGTAGTATTTACCTCTCGGAGCCGTGACGAAGGTTAGATGAAATAATGAATGTAAGGTCTTTCTCACAGTGCCCGACCACAGTTGGCCTTCAGCAGGGGCAAACCAGAGCTACCCATTGGTTTTAAATAGTGGGTCTGTAGATAAAGTTCATTTGGAGGAGGAAGAAGTTTGCTGGAAAAAAAAAAAAGTGTGAGAGCCACTGAGTTTCAGTGGGCCCCTTTTACACACGACCCCATGTAGCCTAGAGAGGCGAGAGAACTTCCTGCTAGGATATTACCTGATTTCTGTCTTTCCTGTCTTGTTGGAGAAAATGTGCTTTGCAGTCAGGGCCACACTGGCTTCACCTTTTAACACCCCCACACCATGCCCAACGCCAGGTTCGGTCCACTCCGGGTAAGGGTGGGTCCTCCCGGGGTGGTGTCTGATGGCAAAACAGGGGTGCAGCTGAGTGCATACAGGTGGGTAACCCAGGTGCCTCTTCTGAGGTCCAAGAAGTGGGGGTTTCTCCCCATGACTGCCCCACCCAGCATGTCTGTTTGGTCTTTGCTGACTCCTCCCAGATTCAGGTCACATCCTGGCACGCACCTTGTTTCATGTCACTCCTTCGCATACGTACCGTGGACACCAGCTCTGTGCTGAGTACTGGGCCCTTCAAGCCAAGGTCGTCTGGCCATCAGCTCTTGTGGCGCAAATTTGCCCATGGCCTCCGTGTTTGTTTTAGGGTTTGATTGCTCTGAAGTAGCCCAGAGTTACTGATCCCCAAGAGATTTCAGCTGCCAGAATTCCCAAGAAAGTCCCCCAAGTCTTAGAAGCGACCTCCCCCCCCAACTGTCAACCATCTCTGCAGCAGCTCCTGCCTGTGACAGAGGGGATGGAAGCACACAATGGCCCCAGAGGGTGGGCCGGTGCTCGGGGCTCCAGTTTCTTGGTGTGGGGCTCCTTCTGCAACATCGAGCATCTTTTCTGCATCAAGGTTTTTAGTGTGAGGGGGAGGAACAGGGTCAGGGGGAGGGAGCCACCACCACCCAGGGTTGGTGATGGCCAACAAGCCTGCTGTGTGGCGTCATTGGGTGAGCCAGCAGCATTTACCTTCACCGTGGCTGCCCCCCAACACCTGAGGCTCCCCCCACCGAGGGCCCTGATCTGGAGGGGGCAGAGCCTAGGAGAGAAGAAAGAAGGAAGGGACTCAGGAATGTGGGCCTTCAGAACCACGATGAATAGAAGATGAGCCACCAATTTCATTCATCCGGGTCCTGCTGCTGTGGGTGCCCCTGCCACCCCCGGAGTTGGACCCCCCCACCGCAGAAGACACCCAGTTGGCCTCTCAGGGAAATCATCTCCATAGTCACATTTCAGTAGCTGAAAGGAGAAAGCAAGCCTTTCAGATTTCAGCATCTTTGGGGGAGAAAGATAAATCTACATTCCATCTTTCTGGGCCCATTCCTGGCAATTTTCTCAAATATCCCTGTAATTTGTTTAAAACCCACCTCATCAGCCCAGCTGGTGGTGGAGGGTGAACAGTCAGAGGAAGGGGGCAGGCTTCTGGTGGTCCTAGAGTCCTCCCGGCCGTGGCTCCTGCTCGTGGGCAGGACACAGAAATTCTCAGAACTGTCCTTTCATGCTTGAAACACTCAGGCCGCAGCTTCCCGTGAAAGAAGGGAATGACAGTAATGATGTTTACTGCACGCTCCCTACCAGGTACCACGGTCTGGGCCACTTGCCTGACCCAAAGGATTCGTTGATTCTCTCTGAGAGAAACTGTTATTCCTGAGCATCTTCCTGATAACGGGGGACTGAGTCCCAACCAAGGTCCCACAGCTGCAAGTAGCAGGTCTGGGCCTTGCTCCTGTCAGTCAGGCGAAGCTGTGCCCACGGAGCACCCCTCTTCTGCTGCTGAGCTGTGCTTTTGCTGGCCCTTCTGCCCATTCCAGACCTTCTCACGCAGGACCTCAAGGCTGGGCAGGTGTTCACCTTGCCCTCTGAGCAGACAGGCCCAGCCTGGGAAGGGGCACCTGCAAGCTCCCAGGGGGCTGGCCGACCAATCCATCCATGTTGCACAGCTCTGGACACACATCTCGTTCAGGTCTGACCCCAAGCCCAAGACACAGGGACATCATTCTCAGCGTGCTGCAGATAAGGCCAGCAAGGCTCACAGGAACCAAGTGACCTCCATGAGGTCCCACAGACTGAAAGTGGCAGAGCCAGAAACCTGGCCCTACCAGGTTTGGGAGGTTTGGGAGTCCTTCCCAGGCACCCAACCCCCACTGGGCTCGTTCACCGCCTCCCAGCCCACAGCCACCTCTGCGCACCCCTGAACGCGGCATGTGCTCAGGGCCTGGAGTGGGCGGAAGAGGTGGCACCCCCTCCCACCCCTCACTGACACGTCCTTTTCTCTTCCTCCAGTCCCCAGTTTTCATTGCCCAAGTTGGCCAGGACCTGGTCTCCCAGACGGAGGAGAAGCTCTTACAGAGGCCCTGCAAGGAACTCTTTTCTGCCTGTGCACAGTAAGTGCTCCCTCGCTCCCCAGGCCGGGCCTCAGGCCCTTCAGCCTCCTGTCAGCCACTCGGGGCCCCGGAGAGAGGCTGCCCCTACCCTCCACCTGGAGCGCCGGGCACCAGGGCAGGTCTGCCATGCCCCGGGGGCCCCAGCCAAGCCACCCAGCTGTTTGTATACTTCTTAGGAAGGGAAAAGATACCCAAGTGCCAAGTCCAAAGAAAACATCTGCCTCCAAGGGTGTTGAAAGCAAGTGGCTCTCTAGGCTGTTGAGACAGAGGAATGTGCAAAAACTTGACCCCGTCTGGGCGGTTTGGGAGTCCTTCCCAGGCCCCCAACCCCCACGGCTGCCAGCAGCCAGAGCCGGGTAGCGCTGCTGTGGGGCGGGCGGCTGGAGGCTGCCTTCTCAGCCACACCCCATCACCTCGTCTGTGGGCCTTAGGGCCATCCTAATGGATAGGAGACAAGTTGGTGGGTGTGCTGCTGGCCCGACACCGGTGAAGCCCCCACCTGTCCCTCGCACACATCCCGGGAAGGCGCGCACACGTGCCTGTGTCCACACAGGTACCCTACGCCATACGCTGCACACCAAAAACCTTCCGGAGCCTGATCGCCCCCCACGGCTTGCTGTGCGCCCTCGTTCAGCCTTTGCCCCACAGACAGCGGGGCACCTGCTGCATGCCTGGCACAGTGATAGGTGCTGAGGGTGCCATGGTGAGCAAGAACCCAGGCCCGGCTTTCATGGAGCTTAACAGCCAGGCGGGGAGGACATGAAAACCAGTGACCCTGTGCACTGTGGGACGAGCTGGGAGCCCCCTGTTGAGAATGGACATTTAGGGAGGGCCAGCCGAGGAGAGAGACCCCCCCCTCCCCGCCACGAGGAGAAACAGACCCGGTTGCTGTGCTCTTGGAGCTGGCTGAGGGTCAGATATGACAGCGGGTAAGGCCCCTGGGCTGTCACTGTGACCCTGGCCCCTGCTCTCCTGTTTGGCAGGAGACAGCATCCAACAAGGTCTCCACTGTACATGCTGCTCCCCCCCACCCCGTCCCGCACCCACAGGTCCCAAGTGCCTGGGCTAGATTGGGCAGCATCACCACGTTTTAAAGGAACGAAGCCCATCCCTGCCTACAGCCAGCTTCAGAACCCTGCGGGCCTGGCCCTCAGCAGGTGACCAGTGAATTCTGCTGCGGGGATGGAAACCTCCCAGTGGCTTCACTGGTCCTGGACCAAATCCAGAGCCTGGGCCCTCGGGCGCTGCATCCCTGCTCTGCCCACCCCCGCACACACACCCCTGCACCCAGTTATTCTTCTGTCCTCACTGCAGCTCAAGAGTCCCTTCTTGAGAGAGAGAGAGCTACCTGAGCCCCCCCTCCCAGGGACCTCGCTTAACCCTCCCTCATGATAACCTGCTTCTGCAAGCATCTGTTTGGTGGTTGTCCCATGTCGCAACAGCAACCTCAAGCTCACAGCTCTGCCCCGGGCCTAGAGCCGTGCTGTGGTGGGGACCCAGTAAGTATCCGCACGATCAGGCAGTCACTGTGGTAGAACGATGGGCCTCTGAGGCCACTTGTTACCTGCTGGATATGTATACAGCTCTGCCCGGCTGCTTCAGGCCGGGATTATAAAATGTTTGTTTGTTCCCTCTGAGCCAGGTCTGTCCACGACTACCTGAAGGGAGAGCCCTTCCATGAGTATCTGGACAGTATGTATTTTGATCGCTTTCTCCAGTGGAAGTGGTTGGAAAGGTGAGTGCACCCCGGCACAGCCCACCTGCAAGTGTATGCCAATGTGCGCGCGTGGTAGGGGCGGGGGGGCAGGTTTTCCACCTGGGAACTCATAAAAATCAGTTACCTCCATGGGTCCATGGTTCAGATAAAATTAGCCATTCTCTTGTTAAGTTCTTGGCTATTCTTCTAGAAATGCTCTGTGCTTATTAAAGTGTGCACGCACACCCACACACTCATAAATACATACATACTTATTCTTACTTTTTTGGTTCACTGTTTTTGGGAATCCTCCCTCTGCCAGCAAATAAAGAGCTGAATGAGTGGCACATCCCTGATTTAGCTCAGTCCCCTGTCAATGGACGTGGAGGTTGCCCCCAATTTTGTGTACAATCTTCCCTAAATAACGAGTAGCTTTGTACATATATCTTCACATACTTTTGCAAGTACATCCATAGAAATCCCAGCAGAGGGATTTCTGGGTCACAAAGCCCCGATGTGAAACCGTGAGGGACCGCTAACTTGCCCTCCCACACAGCTGCCCCCCAATTCCAGGCCCTCCGGTGCCCCAGTGCCTGCCTCCCCTCCACCTCATCAACACTGTTCTCGTGCTTTCCTGGCTGGTGTGTGAGCAGCAGGGTTTCCTTCTTGTGTATCTTGTCATCTCTAATAATGGGTAAAACCGAGCATCTTTTCATGTTTTGTTTCCTGCCTTCTCTCTGCAAAGTGTTCTCACAAACATGGCGGTGATTTGGCCTGGCAGCTACGGCCTCCGTGTGACTGATGAGGAAGGAGAGCCCCCGAGAGGGTGTGGCCCGGTCACACAGCAGGCCAGCAGTGCGCCGAGGGGGGGCCCTGGCCCAGGACCCCCAGCACAGGGCTCTGCCCACCACACTGTCCCAGAATTGGCAGAATGAGGCAATGCCTGCGTTAAATCCATGCTCTGCTGGTAGACAAGGGCGGGGAGCACCCCCTTCCGCAGCCCAGGGGTCCCTGCGCCTGAGGCCTGGCGCTCACGGGGATCTGGGGCACCCTCTGGGCAGAGAGCCAGGAGCCATCTTGCTTCTGCCTGTCCCCACCTTCGCTGGTGAGTGCCCTGCAGACACTTAGGGATGCCCGAAAAGCCCCATCCACGACCCTGCCCTGCCCACTTCAGGAAGCCCGGACGGAAACACCCAGCTCTGTACCACCGGGGGGAATGACAGTCAAGCAGGGGGCAGTCTCCTCTGTGGGCCCCTCACACGTACACATCGTGGCTCTGGGAGACCCGGGGAAGTGGGGGTCAGCGTGGACATCCGGCTGAGGGCCCTGGAGGCCACAGCCTGGGTCTGAGTCCCGGCTCTACCTTCTCCCCAAGGACCTCAGCAAGGGCTGCTCACCCCTCCCCACCTCAGTCTTCTTATCTGTGAGATGGGGATGCTAATAGTGCCTGCCTTTGTGGGCTCAGGTGCCGACGAGCTGAGGTAAGCGTAGTACATGCCTATTAGGCAAGAGCTCAGGAAAGGTCAGCCATTTGGCCCCGGGAAGTCAGGCGCTGGATACAGTTGTTGTGCTATCACCCTCAAGCGTCTGGTATGGGAGGGAACCGCTGACCCTTGTGTTTCTGATGATCGCAGGACAGTGTGGTGGGGACGTATTCGTCACCCCCAGAGCCCCGGGCTGTGTGCCACACAGCCTGATCTCTGCCCACCTTCGCAGGGTGGCAGTGTGGGGTTGAGACCCTGGATGTGGGCTCTGCAGCAGGTGCCTGGGGATCCAGCCCCAAAGCCGCCACTTACCATCATGACCTTGGCAGCTTGTTTCCCTTCTCAGGGCCTAAACATTCTCACCTGCACAACGGGGACTCTGCCACCTCCTAAGGCAGGAGTGAGGATTACATTAGTGCATGTGCAAGGTGCTTCACTCAGTGGGGACTGTAACCATAAAGACCCCAGAGGCGATGTGTCCTTTGTTCCTAGAGTTCTTTTTTTTTTTTAAGATTTTATTTTTTTGACAGAGAGCATGCAAGCATGTACAAGCAGGGGGAGCGGCAGGGGGAGCGGCAGAGGGAGAGGGAGAAGGAGGCTCCCCACTGAGCAGGGAGCCTGATGCAGGGCTCGATCTCAGCACCCTGGGACTGTGACCTGAGCCGAAGGCAGACGCTTAACCGACTGAGCCACCCCAGGTGCCCCTATTCCTAGAGTTCTAATAATGACATCTGACACACAGCAGCTTACAAAGAGCCTTGGGATGCAGATACCTTTTCAATGTTGTTTTACTGAAGATGCAAGGCTCAGAGAGGTTGATCGATTGGCCCTGGGTCACGCAGCAAGGGCCTGGCAAGGCTGGAACCTGAATCCAAGGCCCTGCGATCAAGTCCTTCACCCTTATTCCACCCAGCACTCTGTCCAATAGAATCCTTTAGCTGTGGCCACTGGCTTTGATTTTACTTGTCTGCACTGAACACTTGAAATGGAGAAACAGACTTAAAATCTGCGTTGACTGCGAAGCAGTTAGGCCCTTTTGTGGGCATTAAGTTGTTGAAGGCACTAGGGCAGGACCCTGGCCTAGAAATGCCCCTAAATGACTGACAGCACCCTGCTTCCTCCCTTTCCTTTTTCTTTTCTTTTTTTTTTTTGTTAACAAAATCATGGCCTGTTCATACTGTACTGTTGAAATATTAAAGGGATTTTCTCCCTCCCAAGGTTAACCGAGAAATTCCTCGGAGACTGTATTACACTCATTTCCCCTAGCAAAGGAGCTCTGTGGTAATGCCGACCAACTGTTTGTTCTCCATGTATCGTAAACTGTTAGGCCCAGGCGCCTTCATGTGGTTTCGAGGGCAGCTGTAGAAACGCTTCCCGGGGCCGCATGGCGGATGCAGCCACATGGCAGGCCTCGCTGCAGTCCAAGCGCTTGTGTGCAGGGGGACACAGAGCCATGGAGAGTCTGCAGAGGGGCGGCCCTGTGCTCCCAGTGGGGAGATAATCAGTGTGCCGCGCCCCCCCCTCCCCCACAAAGAAACAGAAGAGAGAGCGAGTCAGGGCACGTGGACTCCAGACAGGCGTGCTGGTGGGGGGCGGGGGGTTCAGGGCTGTCCTGTGAGAGGTGTTGGTGCCGAGGACCTTCGGGACCCAGCAGCAAGCAAGGTTGCAACAGAGGGTTCATTCAGGAGCTGCTGGGTGACCAGAGGCTCACTGGTCTTTCTCAAGCTGACCCAATTATGTGGGCCAGCTCAGTCCCACTCTGGTGTGTGCCCTGGTCCGGCCTCTGCGCTGGGGTTGGGGGTGCTCAGGAATAGTCCTGGAGGTCCAAGAGCTGAGCTGGACATCCTAAAAGCAGATTGTTCTTTATCCATTCATGGTCCAAGGACACTTAGGTTGTTTGCATCTCTTAGCCCTTGTGAATAATGCAGTGGTCAGTGTGGGAGGGAAAACGGGGTAGATACATACAACGGAATATTATTCAGCCTTAAAAAAAGAAGGAAATGCTGCCATTTGTGATAACATGGAGGAACCTGGAGGACGTTACACAAAGTGAAATAAGCCAGCCACAGATCCTGCATGATCTCACCTAGATGTGGAATCTAAAATAATGGCCCAGTCATAGAAACAGAGAGTGGATGGTGGCTGCCAGGGACTGGGCGTGGGGGTAGAGGTCATGGGGAATGTAGGTCAAGGGATGCAAGGTTTCGGCTAGTTCTGTGGGATGAATACGCTCTGGAGAGCTGACGTACAGTGGTGGGACTCTAGTTCACGGTACTGTATTGTGTGCTTTAAGCTGGCCAAGAGGGTAGATCTTAAGTGTTCTTACCAGCGAGAGGGAGGAAGAGGGCAAATGGTAACCATGGGAGGTGACGGAAACTTAGCTGGATTGTGGTGATCCTTTCACAATGTGTGCATTTATCAAAGCATCACGTTGGATACCCTTTGTCAGTTGTACCTCAGAAAAGCTGGGGCTGGGGGCAGCTGATTATTTTTAGCCAAACAGGCCAGTGATGAAAAAGCCCAAGCTGTCTGCACCCTGGAGTTCTTCGAGGCAATTTTAGATGACCGTTTGTTTATTTACTCCGTGAGGTCCCACCCTTGCCTCATGATCAGAGGGTCCGTCTGCTTAGACATAAATGGCCTTAGCTAATTAAAATGGGGGTCGGGAGACACAGAGCAATGGTTACTTCACAAATACCGCTTTGGGCAGACAGGATCTTCTGGTGCTGCGGAACGACGGGGGAACTGCGATAAGGGGGCCCTCGGTGGCGGAAGGGCTGGGGGCCTGCCGTAAAGGACGACCAGCAGCCTTTCTCCCTGGGGACAGGAGGTGGGCGGGCGGACCAGACGTGCAGGTGCGGGGAGGGCTGTTGTGTCTTCCCTGGGACACCTAACCTGTGCGGCTCCTGGCCCTGCAGAGGACACTGCTGCCTTCTGAGCTTAGCCACCTGATTTTCCCTGGGGAGAAAAAGGGGGACCACACGGAAAGTGTGGTGAAGCAGCTTCTTCACGCATCTGCTCTTCCCTCCACGCAAGCAAGCGAGCGAGCGAGGACTGCTCGGGTCCCAAGCCACACGGGGCCGAGGGCGGGTGGCCTGGGATTTGAACACCCAGCCCCAGAGCAAGTGCTTGAGGGACCCATCCGCAGTGATGATTCCTGGCTGGTTTGGAGGGCATCCAGTGCCACCGTCGTCTGTTTCTTGTGGCTTCTGCACCTCAACACCTTGGACCAATGTTGGATTCTTGCTTTTTTCCAGGCAACCGGTCACCAAAAACACTTTCAGGCAGTACCGAGTACTAGGAAAAGGGGGCTTTGGGGAGGTGAGTGAACATCCGCATCTTCAGTGGGAAGTTCCCCTCCTCTGTCACGGTTTCTGGCCCTTCCGAATGCGCCTACGGCGTCCTGCGCCCCCTGGTGGGCAGGGAGGGTGAGGCATGAGGCCTGGGAACAGGCGGTGCCACTGAGGTGGGCAAGGAGGCTGTCTGCAGGGCCGGTGGGATGGAAGTGCTCTTGGGGCCCGCCTCAGGGTTTGTGTCTGGAGAGGAGAAATGGGCGTTCTTGGCTGTCTTTGGGGGGAGGAGTGAGGGCATGAGGGGCCCAGGCATCTTGGCCAGATGATGCCATTACTATGTGCTAATCTTCCCAGTCTGTGAGGCAAGCCTTGCTATTCCCATTTTAGAGATGAGGAAAACTGAGGGTCAGAATGGTTGATGACCCAGCCAAGGTCACGCAACCAAAAAGGGGTAGAACCAAGAAGATGAGAACCCAAATGCCTTGGCTCCTATTCCGCTGAATTATGAAGTCAGAGTTATCAGGGGTCTGACACCAAAACAAGCCTCCCTTACCAGTAGCTGGTGCTGTGAAATCCCCAGTTAGCAATGGTTGCATCTGGTGGAAGCTTGGGACGGAGAAACTCTAGTTGCCTCTCAGAGAGGGACAGCACTTGAGGCTTTGGCCGGTCATGTAAACACCAGTGTAAATGGTTGGTTGTGCACCTTGAAAAGCTAGGATTCACCTAAGGATAGAAGGAGGGAAGCAAGGGGCACAGAAGCCAGCTCTTGAGGGCAGGGCCTGGGGCGGCAGTGGGTCCAAGGCCAGGCATCCTTGGGTCCCGTGACTGAAGCACCTTCAGGCCAGGCTCTGATGCATCAGGTCTCTGCCCCGCCGACCCAGCCTACTGGCCTTGGAGGAGCCTGGGGCAGGCCTTCACCTGTCCCATACCCTTGGCTTCTCTCTTGCACCTCAGGTCTGCGCCTGCCAGGTTCGGGCCACGGGTAAAATGTATGCCTGCAAGCGCTTGGAGAAGAAGAGGATCAAAAAGAGGAAAGGGGAGTCCATGGCACTCAACGAGAAGCAGATCCTAGAGAAGGTCAACAGCCAGTTTGTGGTGAGTGTCCAGGGCCCAGCGCCAGGCCACTCTTCTAGTGACCAGGGCTTCTGTCCCTTGGGAAGGGGGGGTCCTCCAGTGTGGCAGGTTCCTATCCCCCAGGGAAGTGGAGTGCAGTGAGAGGATTAAGCAGCAGAAAGGCGACCAGGCCTTCCCTCCATCACAAGGCTCCCCATGGCCAATCGTGGCTGACTTGCTCTGGTCACTCGAACTGGCCTGGCTCCCCTTTGTATGTGGGACCAAGGCCTCTGTTCTCTAGAACCACCTCGTAAACTCCTCAGTGGAAAAAGCAGCCCACCTGGGCCCAGCCAAGGAGCTTTGTTTCCACAGACCCCCGCAGGCTGGTTTCATCATGGGGGAGACCTGAGTGTCGATATCCTGGAGAGGTGCCGTCTTGTTTATGTTCATTGTGTTACCACGTCTTGGTCAGGCTTTGCTGTGGTAACGAACTACCCCCCAACCCGAAGTAGCTGGACACAACAAAGACCATTGTCACATACACAGAGTCCAGCCAGATCCAGCCACCCTCCTCCATCTTACAGCTACCCCACCTAGAGTCTTAAAAGCGTGTGCTGGGGGATTTGCCCAGGGACCCTCACTGCCTCAGCCGCAGGGACATGCCTCACGCCGCCCACAGTCCGTGGGCCAGAACTAGTCACTGCAAGGGCCGAGCCAGCTGCAGGGAAATGTGGAAGAGCATGTGGGTGTTTGGTCAGCTCTCAATCCCTCTGCCACATGTCACTATAAAAAAACATGTACAGGGTGAAACTCCTACAGCACAGAGAGGTACAAAATACAAATAAAAGCCTCCCTCTTCGGGTAGCCATTCTAACATGGTGGATTCATGCAGAGCCTTTAATATTTTTAGCCAGTGGAGTCCTACCAGACGTCTTAAGCTGCAGTGTTTCCCCTTAAATTGTAGGTCTTTTCCTGTGGCCAGACCTACAGCTGTAGCTCTTTTTTTTACGCTGTGCACCCCCCTCCCTGCTGTCCAGCACGGAGATAACCCATCATCTGTGCAACCAGTCCCCACCACTACGGATCATTTCTGGTGTTTAAGCCACTGCCCTGTCCACCCTTGCACATCCCTTTGGCGCAAGTCCATGAGTGTGTCCGTAGGATGGATTCCTGGTGGAGGAATTGTGGCGTCAGAGGGTGTGTGCATTTTCCATTTGGTAGCAGTTCCCAAAAGGCTCTCCCATCAAGGTGGTGCTGGTCAAACGCCCACCAGCTGTGTGTGAGCGCCAGAGATGCCATCAGCCTAGTGCTTTCGTCATTCCCCAGAGGGCGTGGTTTTATAAGGTGACACTCAAAGGGGACAGGAGTGTGCGCCTCTGGGTCTCCTCTCAGGCTGCCCCCAGCTGCCAGCCCCCTTCAGTGGGGACCACAGGTCACTGCCTCCATGCTGCCCGTGGAACCCTCATCAGTAAAGGAAGGGGCACCCTGGCTCTTGTCGGGCTTGGTGATGGTGGGTGCTACTTGGGGGGGAATGGTGGTGTGCCTGATAAATGGGGTGGCACGTCTTCGAGGGCCTGGACCATCCTCGACTGTGCCCCATCCACTGCCCCTGGCAGGGAGTTGGCCCAGCGCCCTCCATGAGCCCCTCCTTGGCGACTCTGGGCAGGTGTGGGAGGGAGGGCCAGCCTGGCCCCTGGCACTGAGCACCATCCCCAGAGCCCTCCCGCTCAGCTCCCATTCTGTTTCCTTTCCTCAGAAATAACTCCCATTGTTCCTGGCCTTTGCATCCAAGGTGTATGGCCCAGCCTGTGCCCAGCCTGGTCCATGGTGGCCAGATTTCATTTGGACTGGCTCCCTAGTGGAGAAGGACGAGTACCACCCAGTGGACTTTGCCTCAGACCCAGTCCTGCTGCCTCTCCCACAACCCTATGGCCCCTGTCCATCCTTGGGCAGCTGGTCTCCACCAGCAAGGAACTAGGTCCTCCCTGTTAATGGTCCCTTGGCCCAGACGTGTCCTGCATGCAAGAGGAGGCAGACTTTGCCAGACTGTGTTCCCCTTCACAGAGTCCCACTGGCCACCTCCCCAGCCCACTCCCAGCATCCCTGTGGTAATGAGACCCCAGCCCAGAAGGCATCTGGGCTCTTCTTTTCTTGACTGGCCAACAAGGCAACCCAGAGACTTCAAACGAAGGGGCTTTTTTGTTTGTGTAAACACACGCGCCATCCTGTCAGGCTTCCTAAAAGGGCAGAGTACCAGCCTGCCCTCCCCGCTTTGCCTCCTCACCTGGAACCACGATATCAGAAAGTGTGTCCTTTGTCAGCCAAGAGGGGCAATGGGCAAGGGCGCCATGAGGCTGTCAGGGTGCAAGGCAGTGGCATGAAGCTGCTGAGGACCCCACTCCAGCCACCTCCCCCAGCTCCAAGGACCCTGAGGAGGATGAGTGGAAGTGGGTGGCAGTCACTGGAACCTCACCATGGTGCTGTCTTGTGCTCCCAGGTCAACCTGGCCTATGCCTACGAGACCAAGGATGCGCTGTGCTTGGTTCTGACCATCATGAATGGGGGTGACCTGAAGTTCCACATTTACAACATGGGTAACCCTGGCTTTGAGGAGGAGCGAGCCTTGTTTTATGCGGCAGAGATCCTCTGTGGCTTAGAAGACCTCCACCGGGAGAACACTGTGTACAGGTGAGCAGACTCGCTGTCCGGTCCTGCCGCCAGAGACTGAGTGGGGGGCTGACCTGCTGCATCCTCGGTCAAGCGGGCACCCCCACCCTGGGACTCATGCCCTGGACCACTTGGGGACCAAGTGTAGGAGGTGATGTTCCCTCAGAATTGGGGAGGACGGGCCAAGCTACGGGTCCCGTCCAGCCCAGGGTGCGGGAAGCTCAGAGCCTGCCTCAGAAAGACCTTAGTAGCGAGAAGCAGGCAGCAGAACGGACCTCGGTCCATCCTTCTCCGTCCGACTTGATGGATTCCACAAGTAGTGGTCTTCAAACTTTTCTCACTGACCCTCTCAAGGAAATCTGAAAATCTGTGTGCCCTTATACAACACAGAAGCATCTGAAATAGTTCATCATCTGTTAAAATAGTGGCTAATATTTTGAAACTGAACAGTTGCATCACATTTTTAAAGGTATCCAGTAGAATCTGATTGCTGTGGCAAAGTGATTTCCACCATTATCCATTTTAAAAATGCATGAAAACTCTTTAAAGGTGAGGGATTCTCTATCATCCTCTTCTCCACCCCCACAGAATGTTATTATAATGTCATCTTTTTTTTTTTTTTTGCCTAAAAGTCTGTCATTGATCATCATGGAGCTCTGCAATAGATGGATATATATAAGATTTTTTAAAAATTTCCTTTGACCACAGGCTTTAAGAGTTAAAATAACTTCTGTTGAGTTGCCGTTGTAATGATTATTAGTGGAACCCTTTTCTACCTGGGATCCTGGGGGATTTTACACCGTGGAGCAGGGCACCATAGTTACCGGGGCGGGAAGGAACCTGCTTCTCTTCTGTCATTTGGAATCTGTGCCACCGAGAAAGGGCAAGTGGGAGGGGAGATCCCAAAGAATGCGGGGACATTAGATCTAGAGGATCTGGAAAGGCAGAAAATTCTTGAATTTTCTTCTTTCGGTATTCTCGAAACTGGTAGCACACAGGAGCCCCCTAGACGGTTCCCGCAGACCCAGCGGGCCTGCACACCCCAGCGTGAAGACCTTTGCCACGGAGCTCTTGGCAGAGATGATCTTGGGGAGTCCAAGAAGGTTTTGAAAACAAGAAGGAATGGTCTTGATGACTTGCTCTTCTCCCCTCCCCGCCCCTTTCTCCCCATTTAGGCTTTTGTTCTGTTTTCATTCAAGTGAGAAGAGAAAAAATTCCCTAAGGGTTGAAAAAAAGAACTCTTCACTTGATTGCTTTTCACTCAAAACAAAAAGAAAGAGGGGCCTCCAAGTTCTAAGCCCTTATTCCCATGAAGAAGAGAACCATAGCACCTCCCTGGCCTCCACCACTTGCCATGGCCTCTCTGTGGGTTTGGGTTCTGGCCCATGCCTGCCAGCCAGCCATCTTTCCAACCCTGTGGCTGCTGGCTTGCTGAGGTGATGGATCTTGCCTTTACTTGGTCAGCTGCCATCAGTTAAATAAGCAAAGCCAGTTGGTTGAGAATCACATCCTCAATCCAGATGCTGATGGCTTAACTGAGTTGCACACGCTATCCTATTGGCTGTTCTTTTACCCAGAGAGGACCTTCTACTTGTAAAACCAGACACTTCTGCCGCCTCCCTTCCGCAGCGGGGAAGGGGGGCACGTTCTTATGAACAGTGATGATGTAATCAAAGAGAAGAGACAGGAGGGACAGAAGGACAGGGGCGTGCCCTTGCTTGTCACTCCTGGACTGGGAGATGTGCCAGGCTCCAGGGGTCCCCTGCCCAAAGGGGGTCCCTCCCTCCTCGACCATTCTCTGTCCCAGATCTGCAGCTGGTGCGGTGTCCTCAATAACTTTTCGCTAATTCCCAGGCCCCGTTCTGCCTTCAGGGCATCCCAAGGCATCCTGAGACCTCCAGCTGTTCCCAGCCCTGGAGGGGTCTCTCACCACACCAGCCAGAAGCATGCTCCGCCCTGGTACCAGCAGTGTGCGGATGGGAGCCAGGGCTGGCCTTTGCCTGACCCCTTCCCTGACATCTCCAGGGTCCGGAAGATCCTGGCAACAGCGGCATTTGTTCTAAATACCGGGAGGAGGGAAATTAGTCCAAGATTGTCTGGATCCAGAGAGAGGCCAGGCAACATGAGCCAAGAGGTGGGAGGGAGACATGAAGAGGGGTCAACCCAGATGCCATGCCCTGATGCTCAGAATGCCCACACTCACATGCTTGCCATCTTTTCCTTTCAGAGATTTGAAACCCGAAAATATCCTGCTCGATGATTATGGTAAGTTGGGGAGCAGCTTGGGAGACCCCTTTCCTGCTCTGTAGCCAAGATGAGCGTCACAACCCAAAGGGAGCAGTGGACCATCTGGCAGAGCCTCTCGGAGGCATGGCCCTGGGACCATGGGAGGGCAGCGGGCGAGTAGGAGGAGCACCCACCCCCTCCCCCCAATCCTGGGTACGGGGAAGGCAGTGGGCATGGATAAAGCTCCTACGTGGTGCAAAAGTGGGGTGACTTGGCCAAAAGAGAGAAACAGAGAGAGAGAGCACTGATGGAGGAGTCTGGAATTTCAGAGATCCTGGGCAGTACTTACTTAACTCTGACACAACTTTCCTGCACCCCATCTTCCTTCCTTGTGAAATGGAAGCAGTGGGCCCTGCTCTGCCCACATCAGAGGGCGGGGGCGCGGTGGTAAGGCTCCAACAAGATAGCGTGATCAGCTACGGCCAGCCCTGGACGTATTCAGCATTATTTGTGCATTATCACTGCTATTTTCTTCTGTGTGTGTGTGTGTGTGTGCACGTGCACACACACACACACGTAACGAGCAGCTACAGTAACGCCTCACAACTGTTTAGCCTTGCACAGCCCAGAAATGGTGTTCACACCCGTTATCTGACTAGATCTTCCCATGTCTGCAGAGGGGGCAGGGCCAGCATCCCATTTTTTTTTTTTAAGATTTTATTTATTTATTTGAGACAGAGAGAATGAGAGAGAGCACATGAGAGGGGGGAGGGTCAGAGGGAGAAGCAGACTCCCCGCCGAGCAGGGAGCCCGATGCGGGACTCGATCCCGGGACTCCAGGATCATGACCTGAGCTGGAGGCAGTCGCTTAACCGACTGAGCCACCCAGGCGCCCGCCAGCATCCCATTTGACAGATGACAAGATTGAGGCTCAGAGGAGCCAACCTGCCAAGATCACCCAACAATATCAGTGGGGAGCTGAGACCAGAAACCAGGGGTCCCCCCAGCATTGCCCCAGGCAGAGGGGAGAGAGAACGGGAGGCAGGTCGTTGGTGACCTGGAGGGAGGTTTGAGTGTTGTGCTACCATGTGGAGGAGTGAGCAGAGGGTCCCAGGCCTGCCTCCCCTCTTGGATGAGCCCAGTGCCCACTGGGGTTCTTGTTCCCTGCTGGTCTCGGAACCGTGCCCACCACTGGTCTGCAGCCCGATGGCTGGAACCTGCGTGTTCTCTTCTCCCCACTTTTATCAGGGGCTGCCAAGCAGGGAATCCACACAGCTCTGGCCTGGGGGGCAGTTCCTGACTTTGGGCCTCGCCAGGGTCCAGGCTATGGGGCCGTGGCAGGCACTGACAAGGAAGAGGGGGCAGATGTGGCCGTGACCCAGCCCGGGTGGGCCGTCGAACCGGACAACAGCGAGACAGACCTCTCAGCACTGTGTTTTCTTGGCCTCTGGGGGTCAGTCCCAGACTCCGTTCCATCTCTCAGTCTCCCCAAGGCCTGGATGACTTCACTCTGTTTCTCCAAAGGGAGAACACAAAGAACCTCCAAAGATCAACAAGGCAGGACAGGGAGTTGCTTCCCAAGTTGCTTTGTAATTTTTCCCCTTAAGCAAATTGTAAAATTTCAGGAGAAGCTCTCATTTTTCCCATGAAGCAATCCCAGAATGAGGCCAAGGCGTTTTAAACTTGGTGATCTCAGCCTTCCAAAAAGCCCATGAGGGCATTTTACGAGGTAGGTTGGCCATTGTCCAGCCAAATCCAGGCATCCTTTCCTATCTTTATGTTTTCTTCCTGAAAAGTAATGATTGACCCACGTCCTCTGACACCTGGACCCTCCCAAGGGTCTGCAGTCACCCCGAGGGGACTGATGATGATGCCCCTCCTCGCCGACAGATAAAAATGTGAGAGTCTATGTGCCTTGCCCAGGGGCACACGACAGGTCTGTGGCCCTGCCCAGGGTGGGGCACACGTCCACATGACCGTCCCGGGGACCCGCTGACTCTGCTCTTCCCACTCAGGCCACATTCGGATCTCGGACCTGGGTCTGGCCGTGAAGATCCCCGAGGGAGACCTGATCCGCGGCCGGGTGGGCACCGTCGGCTACATGGGTGAGTGTGGGTGCGGCCCCTCCCCAAGCGCACCTCTTGGTGCCGCTCTGACCAGCAATAGAGCCGCAGTGGGCAGTGGGGGGTCTTGGGGAGAGGCCTCTGAGAGGAAGGAGGTCGCTCGGAAAGGCCCAGAAAGGAGTGCAACACCTGCTGTCCCCAAGCAAGATGCTAAGTGGAGTCCAGCCTCCCTGCCCTGCCCCCAGCCCCTCATCCCGCACGCCTACTCCGGGACCATCGTCCTGAGGGCTGCAGGGAAGAGACTCGGAGCTCCGTCTGGTCCTCTGGAATCCCCCCTCCAGTCGAGGACATCCCCAGGCTTCCTCCTGCACATGGTGCCTCACACACATATGCCCGCACACCCCAGGAGGTGGGGGCTCCGGAAAGCTCTGGGAGCCGGGGATGTTGTCCTCTGCCAACAACACTTGCCCAGGATTCTGTGTGTTGTTCTGCTGCTAGAAGATCCTTTTCAGATCGCATGTCATTTGGGAGCCTGTCGGGTGTGTACCTACATATATGTGGCTGTGTGTATCCCCCTGCCAGTGCTGATGGATGGATGGATGGATGGATGGATGGATGGACAGATGATAGAGCGATCGATCTGCGCGTCTTCGTGGACACCTGTGTCTGTCTCCTCTTGCACGGAGTGTTGCACGCATCCATCTGCAGGGCCTCTGTTGTATGCTCACGGGCACATGTGTGGATGTTGGTGACCTGCCTGATGACATGAAGCTTATCTTTTCTGTACTTGTATGGTTAATCTAGAATTCATTTTATCAAAATAGTAGGGAAGCCATAGTGAGAGCCTGTTTCAATTCCAGGTAAACTTAAAATCATCTTTCCTTTGGGTGGACACACCTTCATTCCTGGAAATAAATGTGGGTGTAGCACCTACTCTGTGTCCGGTGTCATACTCCTTACTGGGACACAGCAGTGAATAAGGCAGCTCAGATTCTAGTGGGAGAGACATTTCCATCCACTGTGGTCAGGCTTCTGAAGCCACAGTCCGAGCCCTTCAGGAGCACAGAGGAGAGCAGTCAGGGCAGGCGCCCTGGAGGAGGTGGTGTTTATGGCAGTTGGTGAGTAGGAGTCCACAGGGGAAAGCGTGTCCCTACCGTGAAGCTTCCGGCCTTCTGTAAGCAACACCATCACTGCTGGGTGCAGGACGCTCCATCGGTGTGAGCCTCAGCCCTGGGCCCCCGTGCCCCAGCTCTGTCCGGTCACCAGCTGTCTCTTACCTCTCCTGGCTCTGCTCCTCTGCCCACAGCTCCGGAGGTCCTGAACAACCAGAGATACGGCCTGAGCCCTGACTACTGGGGTCTGGGCTGCCTCATCTATGAGATGATCGAGGGCCAGTCGCCATTCCGGGGCCGCAAAGAGAAGGTGAAGCGGGAAGAAGTGGACCGCCGGGTCCTGGAGACGGAGGAGGTGTACTCCCAAAAGTTCTCCGAGGAGGCCAAGTCCATCTGCAAAATGGTGAGCTCCTGGTGAGCCTGCCCTGCGCCGAGAGCAGCAAAAGGGCTGAAGCGGGCAGGGTCGGGGTGCAGTAGGGCAGGAGTCGGGAAGCCCCCAAGCCAGAGGAGCGAGCACTCCCTTGTTGTGGACTGGGGTGGTCGGCGAGGGCTTCCAGGAGAAAGCCCAAGGTGGGGGCAGGGAGGCTCCAGGACAAAGGAAAGGAGGTAGGTCCCCCCTTAGAGGGGAACTGCATGAGACACCCTCCATCCAGCTTTGGTGGGGAAAATCAGCGTGGAAGAGAAAGGAGGTGATCCCAACTGGTTCCCCAAGACACAAAGGGATCTTGGGGCATCCCCTACCCTTGACCTTGGCCCCCTGCAGCCTCAATCTCTGGATCCCTGGGCCCTGGCTAAGGTCAGCAGGTGCAGCACAGGTGGTGGGGTGGTGATATTTTCAGTCTTTGAACATCTTACAGCAGTTTTCCTTCCGCTACATGGAATGCTGGTCACACTGGCTTAGGTCCCACATGACAGCAGTCTATGAGTACTGGGATTTGATTGTTCATGGGGGAGGGCACAGGTGGGGAGTGACGTTTAGACGGCTGGGCGGGCAGGGCCAAATTGCGGGGCCGGGAGGCTGGATGGAGGAAGCAGTGATGGGAGCCATCAAAAGCGAAGCTGGGAATGAGTCCGCCCCGGCCCGCCGCCCTTCCCCTCAGCCCGGGTAGGCCCACCCCTGGCCAGAGGCGGGCAGATCCCATTCTCACCTGGCTCTCAGGCTGCCAAGTTCTGCCTGCGTCCGCTTGGGGCCCTCCTCCCTCTGGTGCCAGGCCCAGCTGTGGGCTCCCGCTGCCCTCCAGTGCCGGCCACGAGGGGACAGGAGGGCCTGAGCACCGGGGACCCGGGAGCCCACAGACTTCCTATCACTGGGGCACAGCAGATGAGCAGGGCTGAGGCTGGAGGCTGCCGTCCCTGCCCCCGTGCATGTGCATAAACCATGAGGCTGGAGTGTGAGAAGCGCAGGCCCGAGGAGCTGATTAAGGTAGCAAAGCTTCTGCTTCCAGAAAAGCCGAGGCTGCCCTGTTAGTGGCCTGGGAACCATGTGGTGTAGCTCCCCGCCCTGAGGAGTCCCCTCTCCTGGAGCCGTCCACCTGCTGTCTGACCACTTCCTCCCACCCACTTCGGTCTGGTGTCACAGAGCCATGGGAACAAGGATTTAGGGCAAGAGCTACCATTTGACCACTTCCAAAAAAGAGGAACCATGTATCTGCCATTACGTGTGTGGGGGACCCTGAAGGAGGGATGGCGTGTACACATGCAAACACCCTCCCAAACCACACTGCCGTGGACCCGGAGTCTATCCCGTGGGACCAAGCTGGGCGAAGGATAGAAGAGGGAGGTCATCAGCCATGGTCAGAGCATCTCCAAATGTCCCAGGTCAGGGTCGGGGACTCAGAGAAGCAGAGCAGCCCCGGCAGGACATGGGACATGCAGAGGGGACAGAGAGGCGGAGAGGGTCCCCTCCCTGCCCGCTGTTGCTGTCGTCCTCCTTGGTGCCCGGCTTTGGGGCTTTAGGACCAGGGGCCCTAGTGGCCCTCTGCTGCCCCCTGGTGGCCACCAAGGGAAAGGCGGCGAGCTGAGCCTGGGGCGCTGGACCCACATTGGCCCATTGGGTGTCAAGTGTCAAACCAGTGTCCCCTCATCTTTCTCCACTGGAAGAACTGACAAAGCCTTCTAGCCTTGCTTCATCTTCTTACGAATGACCATGGGGTCTTAGGATTCTAGCCTTGGGGCTTCCTGGCACCCCTCACCCCAGCCTGTCTGGCAGCCAGGCCCTGTCCCCTCCAAGAGGCACCAGCTCAGGACACAGCAGGGCCTGACTCTGAGGAAAACATGAAGGCTCGGGGCACATTGGGCTGTTTCTAGACTCCGGAAACTCGAGCCCTGCCTGTCCAAGAAGACCACTCCCTGCTGCCAGTTCCTTCCCCCATTCCATCTTGGCAGCCACAAGACCCTCTCCACTGCCCCTGATGTCCAGAAATTCATGCATGTCACTGCCCTGGCCCCTGGTCCAGTCCCTAGGCCCAGACCTCAGCCCCACCTCCTGTAGGGCCCTGCTGAGTCCCAGCACTGGCCCCTCAGCCACCTCAGCCTCACTGGCCTTCCAGCCCATCCCTTCTCTTCCAGGAAGCCCACCCTGTCTGCACCACTTGCCCAGCTCACACCACTTCTCTTGCTTCTCCCGGTGTACACTCGATGTCCAAGTTGCAAACAGGCAGCGTGTTGGTGGATGTGCAGCCTGCGTGGTGTTTTAGAAAGAGGTGAATGGTGGGTTCGTTGCCAAGATTTAAAGTTGGAGAGATTTCACATAAAAACCTGGATTTTCAGCCCTGGGCCCTGGTAGGAACTGATGGGTAGCCTGGCACAGCCCACCCAGCCCACTCGGCCTTTATTGTCCTTGCTTGTGTCTTCTGTCTGGCCGGCCCCCGCAGGCTCTGGGGTCTACAGCTGGGAGGTCCAGCTTCTACCCAAGGAGCCTTGCCTCTTTGGGATTTCTCAGAGCAGGGAGGAGCCTGGCCCAGCAGAGCCGACTCCTGGAGCCTTTGTGGAAAGGCAGAAGCACTGGCGAGGAGAAGCTGAGGCCCCGAGCCACCAGCTCACTGGGCAGAACCGGCCTGGGTGGTCACGGGACCACAGTTGACGGCGATTCTCAGGGCTCAGTCCTTTCTAGGCTGTGACCTAGTGCTTGCCCTGGTGCCACCTTTGGTTCCTTTGTTTGAAGGGAAATGGGGGGCAGGGGAGTGGTGCCTGCAAGCCTCCCCCTACAGACCATGAGCCCCAGGAGGCCCGCTTGCCCACTGGCTGTCCACCGCAACTCCAGCCCACACGGCTGGCGGCAACTACGTGTGGAAGGAAAGCATGCAGAGGGTGCCAGGGTATCGGAGGGGGAAAGGGCTGGACTCCCTCTGGGCTGCAGGCCATCCACCTTGATTTTAGTCTCAAAGCAAGCAGGAGATTCCAACCGCATGCCAGGTGCAGTGCTCAGTGGGGCAGGGGAAGAGAGAAGCAGGAGAGACTGCAGGAGAGGGGCTGACACCTGGTGGTCAGCTGCTGGTCCTCCAGCATCACAGCCTGCCCCTCCCTGCGCCTCTCTCAGCCCCCTCCATGCCCCCTCCCAACCCCCCCTTTGACCGCCCCCCCCCCCCCCCCCCGCCAGCCTCCTGGCCTCATTCACACCTCTAGGCCTCTGGCCTGGCTGTCTGCTTCTGCAGCCTCCTTCTTCCTATGAACCTTCCCACCTCTTGGTTCTGATGAGGACACTCCTCTACCCTGACCATCCGTGGCTCCCCAGTACCTCCAGATCAAAATCCTCCTGACCTGGCCTTCAGGACCCTCCAGCACTCTCCGCAGCACGTCCCCTTCACCCTGACCCGTCCCCCACATCCTCATCCCTCCCCCAGACTCAAAGACAGGTGTTCCCCAAGCCTGCCCCACAGGTCTCTCTTGCTAGCGCAGACCCTCCCCCGATGCCTTCCCCACCTGCCCGCAGCCCCCCCAGGTGGCGGCCAGGTTGTGTGCCTCTGTCACCGTGGTGTCGTACCTGTGTATTGCCTGGATGGGTCCTCCGAATGTGATCTTGCTGAGGCCACTCGGTGCCCCTCCTCCCTCTCGGCACAGTGGTTTGTGCCAACCAGGTACACGTCTACAGAGTACGTAGGAGCTGAGTAAGCGAATGAGCGAGGCCCGCAGAGACGGTGCCGGCCCTCTGGCTTACGTGTAGCAGGAGACTGGCACGGTGCCGCCCGCGCTGGGCCTGCCGCCTTGGGGAGGGCAGACGGGACTCCTGCTCTCCTGCAGGCTCCAGGCATCTGAGCCCGGCGTGAGCGTGAGGCTGCCCTGAAGCAAGGCCCGAGCAGGCTGGGGCCGTGTCCATTGGGTGCCTGGGGGTGGCACGAGCCCTGCAGAGGCTGGAGGAGGGACACGCACTCGGGCATACTTGTGAAAGGACATGGCCACAGTGCCCGAAGCCCCAAGTCTCCTGCCTTCAGCAGGAGGAAAGGCCCACCAGGCATGACCTCTCGGGGCTCTCTTGTCACAGCTGCTCACCAAAGATGCAAAGCAGAGACTGGGCTGCCGGGAGGAGGGGGCCGTGGAGGTCAAGAGACACCCCTTCTTCAGGAACATGAATTTCAAGCGCTTAGAAGCCGGGATGTTGGACCCTCCCTTCATTCCAGACGTGAGTAGCCTCCCCAGCCCAGGCTGAGCCTGTGCACCCCCTCACGACCTTGACTTAGCGAATGTCCTTGAACTCCGGGAGGACGGGGCCAGTGGCGAGTGAGAGTAGCAGGTATTTAGCGCTGTGACAGCCACAGCTCGTGGTTCTGGGGCCTGGCTCCATGGCAGGCACTTACATCAGCCTCAGGCATGGGTGCTTCTACTGTCCCTACTTGGCAGGTGAGGAGACTGAGGCCTACAGGGGTATGTGACGTCCCCAGAGTTCCTAAGCACCACAGCTGGGAGCCCAGCCCAGGCCTGTCGGGCTGCAGAGCCTGGGTGTGCAGTGGTGTGAGAAGGGCCTGGAGGGCCTCCCTGGGCCGCATGGCTCTCTGGCCCTGGGCCCCCAGCATTCCTTCTCTCTGTGGAGAAGGAATGGGCCGGAGGCCGGAGGCCCCAGCTGTGGCCACCCTCATTCCCACAGAGATGTCTAGAAACGCTTCCACCATCCTGATCCTGTGGGCTCTGTGGGAGCGGGGATCCCCCGAGGTGCCGAGGAATGTGAGGTCAGAGAGGGCGTGTTCCATCACCCCACCGCGGCCCCAGCCTGGAGAGTGGGGTGACCAGCAGCTGGCATAAGCGTGATGGCGGGAAGGAGCCCCTGGGCAGATCTGTGAGAGAGAGCAGCACTGGTCCCCAGAAAGGCGCCCCCCCCCGCCCCCATCAGAACCTGTGGCTGGGGGTGCCGGGCCTGGGACAGGCCCCGTGTGACCGAGCGCTCTGCCCACAGCCCCGTGCCGTGTACTGCAAGGACGTGCTGGACATCGAGCAGTTCTCCACCGTGAAAGGCGTCAACCTGGACCACACGGACGATGACTTCTACTCCAAGTTCTCCACGGGCTCCGTGCCCATCCCATGGCAGAGCGAGGTGAGCAGGGCGGTGGCCGTCTGCACCCTGAAGGGGGCCACTGGGCCGGGGGACAGGCCCGGACTCCGTCGGCCGTTGGCGTGGGGGTCAGAAGAGGGGTAGGAGGCGGGATGGACACAGTCGTCTAGCGGACTGGCTGGGAGAGAGGAGGAACACGGGCCGGAGCTGGGGGAAGCCCGCGCTGCTTCCGCAGGATGGGGCAGGGGAGGGGGCCCTGACAAGGGGAGGGGCGCAGGGCATGTGGGGCGACCTGGGCTTGGGTGGGGTGAGGAGGGAGAGGGGGTGTGGGTTTGGCGGCTGGACGATGAGCATACCCCCTGCCTCCTTCCTCAGTGGAGGCAGCTGGGGGAGGCCAGCAGGGGAGAGGCCGTGGCAGGCGGGGAGCAGTCTGGGCCTGGGCCCCTGAAGGATGCGGGGTGGGTGCAGGATCTATTGGGAGCAGGCTCAGGGCAGAGTGGGGGCCGCTGGGACTCCTGTCCAGCCAAGATGACTAACACAGCGCCTCGTGCCACCTTCGCCCGGCTTCTCCAGATGATAGAAACCGAGTGCTTTAAGGAGCTGAACGTGTTTGGACCTCACGGTACCCTCTCGCCGGACCTGAACAGAAGTCACCCTCCGGAACCGCCGAAGAAAGGGCTGCTTCAGAGAATCTTCAAGCGTCAGGTGAGGGGCGCCCCCTCTGTGCCCGGCTGTCCTGGCGCTGGCCCCGGGACGCCCTGGGCCCAGCTGCTTCCCCGAGACCGGACCTGCGGCCTTCTCCCTGCGTGCGGGGGGCGTGGGAGACCGGGGGCCACAGCAGCCTGCCCGAGCCCCTGTGCCCGCCAGCTGAGGGATCCGCAGGGTGGAATCGGGCAGGGCCGGCCCAAAGCTCGCCCTTCATCAAGGGTTCTCGGCCTCGCCCCTGTGGACCTTCGCGGTGAGTTCTCTGTCGTGGGGGCTCTCGTGCGCTGGAGGATATTTAGCAGCCTCCGTGGCCTCTAGCGCCCCCTCCCACTGTACCAATCGAAAATGTCTCCAGACCTGGCCCCGTGGCCTGTGGAGGCGAAGTCTCCCCGACAGAGAACTAACTGCCCCTTATGGCCCTTGTAAAGACTCAAGTTCTGTAGGTAGCGATCGCACGTGACAAAGAGCAGGCAGAACAGGTGTGGGAGAGGTGAGCCCTGCAGAACCCCATGGCTCCTGGGGTGGGGCCCCCCGAGGCGGATGCTGTGGCCTCCAGCTGGCAGCTCAGGAGACTTCGCCCCTTGGGAAAAGGCATTCTTCCTCAGAGCCTGTCCCTGGATTGGGGTTCGGCGTGGGCCAAACGGAAGAAATGTCCCCGCAGGGGACGCCCTGCGGGGACGCCCTCACCTCATCCCCCTTGCCCAAGGCGGCCAGAATAGCGCCCCCTCCTGGCCTCCCTTGAAGAAGGCTTGGCGCCAGTGTGTCCGTCCCACAGCCTGGGAGGCTCCATTATTTACATTCCCCCCACCCCACCCCACCCCACCCCACCCCACCCCCAAGGAGCTGCCCCTCTCCCCAGGAGGATGAAGAGGGAGAGGCGGAGCAACTCTGGTCCCCAGGCCTCCCAGCTCCCCCATCCCCACCCTGATAACAGGATGGGGTGGCTGTTGATGGCGCCCTGCTGTGGACCTAGCTCTGCACCGAGCGCTTTCTGAGGGTTTCTCTTACTTAATCTCCACAAAAGCCTGGGCCTTAATTCAACTGTTCAGTCCTTCGGCCAGTTTGTAGCAAGCGCCCACTGTGTGCAAGGCTGTTTCCTCAGGGTTTGAGATGCACCAGCAAGGCAAACCAGGATCCCTCCTTTTTGGGGGTCCTAGTGCAGTGTGAGCCCAGGATGTGCTCCCATTACCCCACTTCACAGATAGGGAAACTGAGGCTGAGGGAGGGCCAAGGTCACAAAGGTCACACGGCTGGTAAACCCATACGAAGGATCTGGGGATAACGGCAGGGAGCATGGATCAGGCACATGAAGAGAAAACGCAGACTGAGGGCAAGTTCGGGGTTTGATCTGGAAGCTTCATGTGAGTTTCACATCCTGTTCCAAAATAGACTCCTGTTTGTATATACACTTATAAAAATATAATTTTAAAATGCTTCCACCAAGTAAAATTGAAGTTCTCCAAAGAAAGGACCTGTCCCCTTCCACATGGCTGAGTCCCTAGCACGTACTTAGGTCCTGGGACAAGCGCTTGCTGTGGAGGCTCACAGACCCGGGGTTCCCATCTGGCCCCGACACTTTCTGCTGCTTGGGTGGCACCGCACTGACCCATCCCAGCCTCTGTGGGCCCTCCTGCAAGATCAGTGCCCAGGGCCGGCAAGAGGACTGAGGGACAGAGGGGTCGGTAAGAGCAAGCAGCTCCTGGTTCTGGGGCTGGGCACCCGCTCAGGCCCTCTACACACAGCCTCACTTCACACTCCACCGGCCCAGCACGGAAGCTGCTTTTGGCCCACAGGGCACGCAGGGCAACCAAGAGATTTAATGACTTGCTCAAGGTCCCTCAGCTAAGCGACAGGTTTCAGACCCTGGGCCTACAGTAATGAACCCTATAGATATTCTAGGAGGGGCTGCCCCCTCCCTGCCTTGGGGTCCTCTTAATCCCATAGCTCTCCCCCTGCCCCAAGGGGTGGCCTCTGGCCCTGGGTCTGCAGCGGAAGAAGGGCACCAGGCAGCAGAAAGCGAGAGGAGCTGATGGGCAGCCCCTGACCATGGCGCTGTTTTCAGATTCAGAGGCCCCTACACGTCCACCAGGACTAACTCTGTCTCCCCCTGTCTCTCTCTCTCCTCTCTCTCCTCCAGCATCAAAACAATTCCAAGAGTTCACCCAATCCCAAGACCAGTTTTAACCACCACATAAATTCAAACCATGTCAGTTCAAACTCCACCGGCAGCAGCTAGTTGGCGCTCTGGCCTTGAAGTCCGCGGTGGGACCAGCGTGGACCCTTATCCTTCGCAGCAGAACTTGCGGACGGGGGGCCCTCCAGGAGCCAGGAAGGAGGCTGGCCGCCTCCTCGACGCAGAGCCTCCAGGTTTCTCAAAGAGATTTCCACTCAGGTCTGTCTCCAGAGGTGGCCCTCCAGCCGACGTGGAACATTGCAATAGAAATCCAATTGGATACGACAACTTGCACGTATTTTAATAGCGTCATACCTAGAACTGAATTTTGTCTTTATTATTTTTAAAGAAAAGTTTTGTAAATTTCTCTATTGTCTCAGTTTACATTTTGTATATTTGTATTTAAATGAAAGTCAGACTTTGAGGGTGTATATTTTCTGTGCAGCCACTGTTAAGCCATGTGTTTTAAGGCATTTTAGAGTGGGCGGGGTGGGGGGGGGATTTACAAAAAAAAAAAAAAAAAGTGACTCAAGACTTCCAGAGCCTCAAATGAGAAAATGTTTTTATTAAATGTAGAAAATGATTCACATTTCACCTTTAAAGGGTTGGTTGTATCCATCTCTGTAACCTTTCCCTCACACTGATGTCACCATGCTGTTGGCTTGTAACAACCTGAATTAAGTGCTCCAGACACACCTGGGACCTCAGCCCCGGTCAGAACATCCTCCGTGGGGTCTCTGGAGCCTCCTAGGGCCAATGCCAGCGTTTCCTTTAGAGGCACGCGGTGTCCGCGTTGCTTTGGCCTTGGCCTCCTCTTCCTTCTGGAAGGCGGCCGGTACGCAGAGCTGGGCCTCTTTCTTTCTAAGCAGGTTCTAACTGCTAAAGCCTGTATGTTTTCAAGAGGCTTGCATTTGGGGATTTTTGTTTTACTCTTATTTTTTAAGGGTTGTGTCACGATGATAAGGAGTAGTCATGGAACCCCAGCTATCCCAAATCCTGTGGCCTGAGGAAGCCTCAGGGAGTGGGGGTCAGTGGAGTCCTACCGAATGAGTCCGTAGAGGGGGAGGGAGGCTTGCCCAGGGGCTCCAGGCACGTTCCTCAAGTGTTTACGGGGTCACAGGGTCTGGAGAGAGCTTCACAAGGCCCCGCAGATACCCCGGCCCAGGTGGCATGGGTGGGGTTGGCTCTCCACACAATGGCATGGCTAAGGAGAGGGCCGGGATACCACGGAAGCTCAAGACAAACCCCCTGTCACTTCTTGGGAGAGGTGGGACCAAGATGCTCTAACGGGGCATCTCAAAACTTCAGGCTCAGGTCGCCCCCAGGAGGACCCGGTGGCTTTGCCAGGCCAGGGTCTTCCAAGGGCAGTCCCCAGGCCCTTTGAGCCCCTGGCCGCCTCCTGTTGCCGCTGAAAAGTGACAAGGAGCAAATCCACCCTCGCCTCCCCCCTGCCCCAGAACAGGGGGAGTGGTTGACACCCCTGCTCCCCTGCCTGGCTGAGTCCCTGGCGACCGAGTCAGCCTCACTCAGACGTGGTGTCAGCCACCCGGCAGTTGCCAGGGTTCCTCCCAGTGTGGGTCCAGCGCTACCTACAGGCGGCTCCGGTCAAAATGCGGATTCCTGGGCCCCACCCCAAACCTATGGAATGGATTCTCTGGGAGTAGGGCCCAGGAATCTGCATCTTTAAGAAGCTCTCCAGAACATTCTAACACGCCCTCAAGAAAGGGCACTGCTGCCTTAGCTTCAGCGGGGCTTCGGACGCGACTCTCCCAAAACGATTACTGCGAGCCGGGCCGCTTGGAGCGTGAGCTTGGACGGAGGAGAGGTAGTGGGCATGGCCGCCTCTGTCCAGTGTCCGTGCTCCTCTGTCAGACTGGGCCAGTGGGTCCTGGAGCGCACTGCCGGAGAGGGGGTGGCCTCTGGGACTGATCGTTTTAGGTCACTTGACAAACAAATGGCAGAGCAGTTGGGCCGCCCTGGGATCCCTCCAACGTGCAGTATTCTTTTCTTCAAGACCAGCCCCGGCCTCACGAGGCTGCTTCTGGCACCTTTCCGGGGCTGCGTACCAGATAAATGCAAACAGCCATACTCCGTTTTCGCCAACGAAGTGGAAAGCTCCTTGACCAGTATTTTAAGATCCTCAAGCTCTTGCTGACCCTCCTTTCTCAATGGAAAGGACAGTCATTTTCCTGGGACAGTCGCCAGCCCAAGCTCCCACCCTCCGTCCTTCCTTTTGCCCAATTCACAGCAACCCCCTGCTTCCCGAATGACTGGTGTTGAGAAGCCTCCGAGCCCCACACTGGCCGACCACAGCACAGAATCCTCACGGAGCAAGGAGGACAACATGCACCTGCCCCAGGTGTTTCTGCATCCCAGCAGCTCCAACGAGGCTAACACACAGGCCTCTGTGGGCCTCTTAAGAGGACTGGAGTCTTCCTTCGTGTTTGCAGCCTGTCCCCACCGAGGGCCCCCAGGATGGGGTGCCAGAGCCACCGCCTCTCTGTTCCCTCCCGTTCCTTTTGACCCTCCGTTTCCTGCAAGAGAAGGGAAGTCATTATTTAAAACAATGCCTGAAAATCAGCCCTCCTGTCCACCAAGTCCCCCAGTCCCCGAGTCACTGAAGGTCCTGCCCCCCACCCCCAGCTTCTCCTCCAACTTGTTTTCTATAGCTGCATTTTTTAAAGATATTTTTAAATTAGGGAAAAAAAAAAAACAAACCCCACCTTCCTCCCCATCCCCTTGCCTGGGATGAGGTGTGTTTGGTCAGTGAATGGATGTTTTTTTTTTTTTTTTCCCAACATTTGAGCTCTTCACGGAAGGGCCTCTCTTTCTCCAAGCATGACATTTTCCTCGCCGGACGTTCTCTGACCTTGTGCCTTTGAGATGAGACGCAGGGCCCTGCAGAAACTTCTCTGCTTCCACTTCCCAGGAGACAAGCTGCTGTCACCCCACTGTCACCCCAGTGGGACAGGGGTGATCCCTGCCACGAGCACCACGACTGACAAAGGTTTATCGAGCCGCCTCGGGGGTGGGGGAGCTCCCATAACATCACCCACAATATCACCAAGGCCTGAGCCCTGCCTTCAGGGGAATGCTACCCCATCCTGTATCACTCATTCCCGACTCTTTCTAGGCTGGGAACATGGCTTTCTAAACCGCGTGCTTCTGAGGGCTGCTCACTTGCACAGTTGCTAAGCGTTGCTGTGTCTCCAGTGGCCCCAGAAGGGCTCGTTCCCTGAAATGCGCTGCTCTTAGCAAACCTCAGTCTTGGAGGGGCGAGCCGTGTGGAGAGCAGGGTACCCGGGTTTTACGCACGCTCGACGGGCAGCCCGCCACGACACATGGTGGGGAGTTCTGGGGACACGTGTGGACGCCACCTTGGCATCGAAGGCACCACAGGATGCGGCCACCCGCCCGGGAGTGCAGCGAGCCCCGACGACGCGGAGGGCATGCCCCAGAGCAGCCGGGGTCTCCACACCTCCCAAGGAGCCCTGCCCACTGTCGAAGCTCCTCATCGCTCTTCCACACCCCGTCCTTCCCTGAAAGGCTTGGGGCATCGGCTTCCCACCGACTCTCCCAAGTGAGCCCCTGACCCAGACCTCACTTCGGAGGGAGCACCGCAACCTCCTTGCTCCTGGCCTCCCAGGCCTGGCCAAAGGGACCGGCAGCCTCGCGGACAGCCAGGATCACCCGCCCCAGATGAAGAGGAAGTGCCCCTTGGGGGACATCAGCCCTCCTCTTGGGCTGCTGCATGCTCCCATGTCGGCGTGAGCACCTGCACCTTCCGAGGACAAGCTCTTGCGTGGTGTCCTGTCCTCCTAGCGCCACCCTCGGAGACAGGACCTCCTAACTTTACAGCCTGTTTGGAAAGAGAACGAGTGTGACCTCGCTGTGCATGTTGAAGCAACAGAGCTGAGTCACGACCAGCAGAGAGCTCACTTCTTTCTGTCACAAGGGACCAGGACAGGGCGGCCTCGTCGTCCCCTGTGACCCCTCCCCCGTCGCCTTTGGAAGGCCAGAGTGTGCGGGTCAGAACCTGCTCCCTGCGGGCCGGGGTTCTCCGCTGGTCTCGTGCTGGGGACAGTGGTTAAAACATTTGAAAAGCTAGCTCTCCCCGGGGACGGAAAGACGCTTCCTAAAAGAAGAATCTGGATGTCTTTCTCCAGTCCGTCAATAAATCATTTTTGTAATAGATCAAAAGCAAATGTTCTCAAGTCGAAGAGCTTAGTGGCTATTGGTAGTGTTAAAATAATAATCCTTCTAGTATCCAAAGGTTTCTGGTTTTTTTTTTCAGGGAAATTTTCACATTGATGATGAAAGAAAATAGTTCCGTTTTGGAGGTCCTTCCTGAAGATAAAGGCTTTTGTTCTGCTGCTCTGAATCTGTGTACGTTCCGTCTAAGAGGTCACTCTGCTGCTGTATCTAGATGGAACCACTGGTGGTGTTTTTTAAGAGAAATAAATTCCTTAATGAAAATAGCATTTCTTCCTGTCTGCACATGGCTGTCACCCCCAAGATGCAAGCACCTGCCGACCCAGCGTCTTGCTTAACCCCTTACGGCTCAGCCCCACCCCAAGCCCGCCCAGACGCCCCCCTGACCACGAGAGAGTGTTCACTGGGGGAAAGGGTGTTCTCCGAGCCTCTGACCCGGGGGGTCCCATCACAGGGCGCTCTCTCGGGGACCTTCTCCCACCCTTCCAGAAACCTCCCCTGCCTGAGCCAGCCTCCCCGGCAGACAGAAGCCACCATCCTCCTGCGACATACGGTCTGAGAAATTCCAGCCCCATAGCACCTGCCGCCCCACCCGCTACACCCCTCTGCCCGGCAACTTTGACCTCTTCCCGGGCAGACGGACGCAGGCGGCGCCCTTCCCTCACCTCCTCCAACCACTCAGGCCCCTTCCCTCCTCTCACTCCGGACAGCTGTGGATTTAGTAAGTGAGGGCACCAAAGTGGTCTCCAGCTAATTCATTTCCAGGAAAGGTTCAAAGCGGGCATCCCCAGGGCATCAAGCTGCTGTCCCTCCGGGAGGGGCTTCCATCGGGTATCAGGATCTAACTGCCCTCCACAGAGCGAGACCGTGAAGAGGAGAGAAAGTCGGGCCCTCGGGAACAGGCACTCAGTGGGCGGCAGGCCAGGACTCCTGGCACCACCTGGACGCTGGCCTCGCTCAGCGGTCAGGGGCCTGGCACAGCCTAGGGGGAAAGAGCCCGTTCAGGTGCCTGGAGGCTGAGTTCTCCTCCCTACTCAGTCACCAGGAGTTTGTTGAACTCCTACTTTATCCACAGCACTCAGAACCAAATCAGAAAAAGCCCCTGCCCTCCTGGACCTTGTATCCCAGGGACATGGGCCACCATTGGCCAGAAAACCACAGGGCACAGCGCAGGGCCTCTCACACTTTGAGGAGCACAGACTCACCTGGGTGGTGTGATAAGATGCAGATCCTGACTCAGTAGGTCTGAGTCTGGGCCTGCATTTCTAACAAGCTCCCAGGAGAAGCTGCTTGTCCAAGGACTACCCTTTGAGAAGAGAAGCCTGCACCCTAACGTCAGGTCAAGGTCTGCAGTCAAAGCAGGACCTACGTTCCCATGGTTGTCCCCTTCAGGTGCTGTACTCAGAAGTCGATGTGTCTTATTCACATTCCCATTTGCGCTGCCCTTGAGGGGCGTTCCTACCACCGGTCCTCAAAGTCTAGCCCCTGGACCAGCAGCGGCCACCACCCCAGGGACTGGTGAGATAGGCATTCTCAACCCCCACCCCAGATCTAATCAGGAGCTCTGGGGTGGGAGCCGGTAACAGGCTTGCAGGTGATTCTGATGCGCACTCAAGTTGGAGGATGGCTGATTGACAAAGTGCTTTCCCCTCCTGGCAAGCTCATTAAACTCCCTATGGACCGCTTTGTAGGTGGAGACCGCAGAGGTGCAGGTGGTTGAGGCTCTTACCTATAAACGGGAAATGGTGTGTATCATTGGCTGCCTTTGTTCTTTAAAAATGGGAGCAAGGACACAACGGTATATAATCGCATGGCCGCCTGCTTTTAAAAATGAGAGGAGGGGCTCCTGGGTGGCTCGGTCAGTGAAGCATCTGCCTTCAGCTCAGGTCATGATCCCGGGGTCCTACTCAGCGGGAAGCCTGCTTCTCCCTCTCCCTGTCTCTCTCTCTCTCTCTCTCTCTCTAATGAAAAAAATCTTTAAAAAGATAAGATAGGGGCGCCTGGGTGGCTCAGTTGGTTAAGCGACTGCCTTTGGCTCAGGTCATGGTCCTGGAGTCCCGGGATCGAGTCCCGCATCGGGCTCCCTGCTCGACAGGGAGTCTGCTTCTCCCTCTGACCCTCCTCCCTCTCATGCTCTGTCATTCTCTCTGTCTCAAATAAATAAATAAAATCTTAAAAAAAAAATGAGAAGATAAGCCAAAACTGAAAAAAATAGTTACCTATAGGGAGAGATGGCCAACAGGGGACAGGGTGAGGGGACGGATATAAAAACCAGACTTTGCTGAATGTGCCTTGTCTTATAGACTTGACTTTGCACACAAATATCGAATGGAAAACAAATCTGGCTTTAGCGAGGAGAGGCTTTTATTCGAAAGGAGCTATTGCCGCAGTGGGTAGAGATACTGCAGGAGAGAGGACGCTCTGACCCTCCGATCTGCAAGGTCTCAAGGGTCAGGCCCAAAGGGGTCTGCTTTATGGAGAGGAGTAAACAAGGCGCCTCACATCCCACTTCCCCACACCCAGATTTTTCTAGAAGAGAATGCCTTACCCTGAGGCCAACCTATTCTCAGAAGGGGCTGTGTGCTGGCTCAGGCTGAAGATGGGCCAGAGTTCAGGGTCCTGGAGCAAGGAGAGAAACCGAACCAAAGTTTGGTTAGCAAGCACTTTGTTCGGATATATCCGTGGGAACTGGTGGTTCAGCTAATCATTTATGAGGCAAAGGATGGGAATTTGGAGGGCCTGTGTCGGGCCTGGTCATAGATAAACAAGTAGGGGGAGGGGCATCCCTGGGGTTTCTCTAAGTCCGCAAGGGGAAGGGTGGTTTTTTGCTGTTTTCCCAGAACACAAAATGGTGAGTGGGATGGGACGCCTTTAACCATCTCTGTTCTCCAGGACCACAGGGCTCAAGTAAAATTCAACATTGTCCCATTTAGAAAGGTCTAAAGAACTAACAGGTTATTTTGAAAACTAATAAATAATGTGAAGGCATCAAGTCCCATTTGTCGAAGAATTGATGGGGTTGATGTCAGGAATACAAGTTTAGTTTAACATTCAAAAACCTATCCATGTAATTCGACACATTAACAGAAAAGAACAATCCTATGATCATCTCAAAACATGCAGAAAAAGCACTTGAGGGAAAAAAAAACAAAACCTGAGCGCTCATTCATGAAAAAAACCCTCAGAAAATTTTAGAGGGGAATTTCCTTAACCTGGTAAAGCATCTACAAAAACTCTACAGCTAACATCATATTTGGGAGTGAAATTTTGAACACATTCTCCCTAAAAGCAGGAAAAAAAGGACTTCTAATTAACATCATATTAGAGGTTCTTACCAATGTATTAAGGGGAAAAGAGTTTGAAAGACAACGACTGGGAGAAAATAAACAGTCTATTTAGAAATAACATAATTGGATACAAAAGAAATCCAGAGGGCTCTAGCAAAAACAAAGACAAGAACAAAAACCAACACATGCACACAGGAAATCTGAAAAATTCGGCAAGGTCTCAGGACACAAAGTCAATGTATAGCAATCAATTATACACCTCTATATTAGTAACAAACAGAAAAAGAAATTTAAAAACAGCATCAAAAACCATAAAATACCTAGGGATAAACTTAACAAAAAATGTAAAGTACTTCTATGCTAAAACTAAATTATTGCTGAAAGAAATGAAAGATACAAATATGCCATGCTCATGAATTGGGATGCTCCATACTGTGAGGATCTCCATTTCCCCATTTTAACTATAGATGCCAGGCAGTTCTAATCAAAACCCCAGCAGGATTAGGGTTGCTATTCTTTCTAGCCAACCACATATCCGAGCGTCACTCATCTCCTCATAGAGAATGATCTCTAACCTCCTTTTGCTAAGTCAGACCCCTTGTGCAGAATGCGCAGCGGGATTTGGGAGCGTGGATTCCTGAGGAGGGTCTGAGTAAGCCAAGTACGCGCAGGTGTGGGCTGAAGTTAATTTCCACACATGTATTAGTCCACTGTTGATACCATACCGTATTTCAAAGTAAACTACACACAAGATAACACTGGGGTCGGGGGGAAGCCAAACCTCAGACCCCCAATCTTATGGAGCTTATCCAAGCCTGGAAAAAAGCTGAACTTGACTTTTGCCCAAACTTGGAAGTAGACATCTTCAAAGCAAATAGATTTTTCAGCTACTGGGAGAAAATACACTCAGCAAGCCTGGGGAAACTATATTTAAAGAGGGTTTCTTGTGGGCCACCTAGAGTTGGGTCTTGCTTTTTTATTCAATCAGGCACTCTCTCTCTCTTTTAACTGGTATGTTTGGACTAATCACATTTAAAATAATTATACAGCAATTGCACTACTAGGTATTTACCCAAGGATACAAAAATAGGAATTCAGAGGGGCACATGCACCCCAATGTTTATAGCAGCAATGTCCACAATAGCCAAACTGTGGAAAGAGCCCACATGTCCATCCACTGATGAATGGATAAAGCAGATGTGTGTGTGTGTGTGTGTGTGTATACATACAACGGAATATTACTCAGCCATAAAAAGAATGAAGTCTTGCCATTTACAACCACATAGATAGAGCTAGAGTGTATTACGCTAAGTGAAATAAGTCAGAGAAAGACAAATACCATATGATCTCACTCATACGTGGAATTTAAGAAAGAAAACAGGTGAACAAAGAGGGAAAAGAGAGATGTAAACCAAGAAATAGACTCTTAACTATAGAGAACACACTGATGGTGACCAGAGGGGAGGAGGGGAGGTGCGGGGGTGGGGAATGGGTGAAACAGGTGATGGAGATTAAGGAGGGAACTTGTGATGAGCACCAGGTGTTGTATGGATATGTTGAATCAATATATCGTACACCTAAAACTAATATTACACTATTAACTAGAATTTGAATAAAAGCTTTAAAAAATATAAATATGGGTGGATTAAAATCTACCATCTTATTAGCTCTTTTCTATCCGTTCCATTTGTTCTTTGTTTCTCTTTTCCTCCCTTTCTGCCTTCTGTGGGTTTAAGTGAGCATTTTTATGATTTCATGTAACTCCTCTATTGGATTATTTATGGCTCTTTTCAAAGACAGGTGGGTGCGGGATGTGTCTGACCGAGAGGGGAGAGAGGCCCCTTCCACTAGATGCGCCAGGCGGAGGGGAAATGATCTTCCTCTTCCCAAACCTGCCTCCTTCTAATCCATTCTCAAAAAGGCAGCCAAGACAGAAAACTTACCCCTCTAATGGGCTTTTCCCCCATGTGACACGAATA